CTATATCCAAAAAAAGACTTACTATTTCCTCCTGAGCTGAATTCCCATCTGCTTTTATTTTACAGAGAACATTTTAATGGTGGCCAGATGGGAGGGGTTTTGAGGGATGGGTGAAAAGGGGAAGGGATTAAGTAAAAATTGCTAGTTATAAAATTGCTATCCTCCTCCAAGGCTGGCCCCCAGGCTGAATCTGTATCTATAAAATTGCTACTCATGGGCATGTGGAGTACAGCATAGGAAATATAGTCAGTAATAGTGTAATAACTATTGTGTGCTGTGAGATGGGTACTAGACTTATCAGGGTGATCACTTCATAAGTTACATAAATGTCTAATCACTGGGCTATACACCTGAAACGAATATAATATTATATGCCAACTGTAATTGAAAAATAAAAAATTATTTTTAGAAAAGTGAATCAAAGCTAATTAGGTCCACAAGAGTATATACAGAATTGTCCACAAATTTACAAGGAATGGGTTGGTGACAGTTACAAATAATTAAGTATAAAATAATTGATTGAGACGTGATCTGTTTCTCTTCTTGTAAACATTACAGTGCTGTACATGTTTATTATGGTCCTTTCCTCTGTGCATGACATAGTTTTTTTAAAAACTATTTTTAATAGTAGTTTTAAGGTCATAGTAAAATTGAGGGGAAGATAAATATTTTTATATCAGATATTCTAAAGAGATTTCCATTATATCCCCTTCCCAACACATACAAAGGCTGCCCAATCATCAACATCCCCTACCACAGTGGTACATTTATTACAACTGATGAACCTACATTGACACCATTATCACCCAAAGTCCACAGTTTACATTAAGATTTACTCTTGGTGTTATAAATTCTATGAGTATGGACAAATGTATAATAACATGTATCTGTTATTACCATCGGCTTTTAAATGGCAACATGTTTTTCCACTAACTGGGAGCTATAGCCTTGAAGCCAGAGACAATGAGGTCCTGGCCACAGGGGAGTGGTGGGCGCAGGGTGGCTGAAAGATGCTGCCTGCCAGCTTCCAGGGAGGCTCCCTAGTTGCCGCATTTCTCCTCCAGCTGGCGACAAACTTCTTGGGGCTCTCCTGATGATTACCCAAATGCTCAAATTTTCTGGACACTCTTCCCAGGGAGAAACAATAGAGTAACTTAGAAGGGTGTAAGGAGCTACTTCAAACATTGGGCCTGTGTAAGCTTTATAGAACAAGGTTGACTGGGCAAAATAAAGTACCAGGTGGGAAGAAAACATTTTTAAAAGTACCTCCCTAATCCAGTCTTCAAAAGTATCACCAGTATCATCTCCATTCCAATCATCCTCTACAACATTTTAATTAAAATGAAAAAATATTCTACAGCCCTCATCAGTGGTTAGAGCATCAGTCCTGGGACTGAAGGGTCATGGGGTCAATTCCCAGTGAAGGGCATGTACCTGGATTGGGTTGCAAGTTAGGTCCATGACAACCGATCAATGTGTCTCTCTCACATGGATGCTTCCCTCCCTCCCTCCCTCCCTCCCTCCCTCCTTCCCTCCCTTCCCTTCCTTCCTTCCTTTTCTTTCCTTTCTTCCTTTCTTCTTTCTTTCTTTCTTTCTTTCTTTCTTTCTTTCTTTCTTTCTTTCTTTCTTTCTTTCTTTCTTTCTTTCTTTCTTCCTTCCTTCCTTCCTTCCTTCCTTCCTTCCTTCCTTCCTTCCTTCCTTCCTTCCTTCCTTCCTCTCTCTCTCTCTCTCTCTCTCTCTCTCTCTCTCTCTCTCCTCTCTCTCTTTCTCTCTCCATCTTCCCCTCCCTAGCCCGCTTCCACTCTCTCTAAAAATCAGTATAAAAAATATCCTCAGGTGAGTCTTAACAAAAACAAAACAAAAAATACTCACTTATAGCCCTGGCTGGTATGACTCAGTTGGTTGGGAGTCATCCCATGCAACGAGAAAGGTTGCCGGTTTGATTCCTGATCAGGGCATATGCCCGGGTTGTGAACTCGATCCCTGGTAGGGGACATGCAGGAGACAGCCGATCGATGTTTCACTCTCACATGCATGTTTCTCTCTTTCCCTCTCCCTCTAAAAATCAATGAAAAAAATCTCAAAAAACCCCACAAACAAACAAACCTCACTACAGTTAAAATAAACATTTTATGTTTGTAAAAAACAGTCAGCAATTTCCTCATCTCTGGCTTACCTGGCCAAATTCTTGTTCATATAGTTAATAGTGTATAATTATATAAAATTACCTTTATGTAATTTTGGTTAATCTACTTTCCTGTGAAGACAATTAATTGATCTGTGTTTTCATTTTTACTAGAGGCCCGATGCACGAAATTTATGCAAGAGTTGGCCTTCCTTCCCCTGGCTGCCGGCACCGGCTTCCCTCTGGCACCTGGGACCCGGGCTTCCCTCCCAGTCCTGGCTTCGTCTGGAAGGACATCCGGTCGAATTAGCATATTATGCTTTTATAATTATAGATACCAAAAGTGGTTGAACTCTGAAACACTGGCTGTGCCTGTAGCAGGGTGCATTTCTACAATGTTAGAGGACTCCTCTTATGACAAATGAGAATGAAAGCTTATTTTCCCTAAATATAATTTTTAAAGTCTTTTTTTTCTTCAGTTTAATAAGTGTTAAATATATACTATATAGAAGGTTCTCTGCTGAAGAATATGGCCTTAGCCTGGGGAGGAAATAAATTAGTTACATCAGTGGTAAAGCAATGACTCTGTAGGAGGCAGGTGACTGAAGTTCTGGTTTTGAATATTTTACTATTTAAAAAAATCAAAACTTATTTTTGCTCTCAACATTACAGCACCATTTCATTTTGATGGGGTGGGGCGGGATGAGATCTTATATTTTACCTGAAGCTAAATTTTATCTCTTACATTTCCTATATATTAATTTTAAGACTTTTTTTGGTTGTTAATCCTCATCAGAGGATATTTTTTCCATTGCTTTTCAGAGAGAGTGGAAGGGAGTGAGAGAAGGTGAGAGAGAGAGAAAAACATAGATGTGAGAGAGAGACACATTGGTTGTCTAACGCATGCACCCGGATCCAGGGCAGGGAGCAAACCTACAACTCAAGGTACCTGCCCTTGATGGAGAATTGAACCTGAGACCCTTTGATATGCAGGCCGATGCTCTGACCACTTAGCAACAATGGCCAGGGCAATTTGAAGACAAAAAAAAAATGATAATAGTCCTCAAACAATAGGGCAGCCCCCAAAAGACCCCTCAAGTATTATACAAACCTGTCTTGTCCAAGTTGAAAACCCCAGTCCTAGTAAGATATAGCTCTGGAACAAAATTTCGATGATACCGATTATAATTAGGACCACAGTGGGATACCCTTCCCCCACTCAAGCATTATGGAATACGAAAAATGTAATTCGAGGAAGAACAGAATTTTCTGGTACTTTTCCTGTGACTATTTTTAGAATATCTGATATAAATATTAATCAGAAACGAATGTGCTTGTATTTTAGAATAAATAAGGCAGGCACCATATAAGAACTAGCAAGCTGGTACAGTAATTCCTGGCACCACCTGAGTTTCAGCAGACAGAACCTCACTGGCTTTGATTTTTGTTTTGCTCTTCTCTGTTACTGCCATAAATTACTTCAAAGTGAGAGAGGCACATTTATACCTTGCTAACTACTCTTCCTCCTCACTCAGCTCAAGTGAAAGATTTATGGTGTCTTCTCCTTGCCATTTCCTGTAAACTGACATATCATGTACATGATGCCAGCCTTTGGTTCCACATCAAAAAGTGAACTCCTGAAATGTGGCAGCAGTCAGTCAACAGTAGTTACATGTTCATTTTAACATAATGGACAGTCATGTCAAAGAGATGCTCATTAATTAGGACTATTGTTTCAGATAGAACTTAAAAGTAAATGCCCTTCATGTGTCTTAAGCTACTTTCTACATTGTTTCCCTCTTCCTCCCCCCCAGTGCAATTGAGAAACCTAAAGGGGGAAAATAAAATATACATAGTTCATACCTGAGGCAAAACAAGTACTTTTGGAATCTATTTGGTAGTTATTATCTATGACTGTGTGATACACTAAGGCCAATTCCACATGTAAATTGACCTATGTATTTTCTGAGTGCTATTAAACAACCTGTAATGTGTTAATCTCTGGATTTTATAGCAGAGAGAGAAAAACAACAGCAAGCAAAAAGGAATGCAGTTCCAATCTGCTAGATAACTCAGAATGCAAGAATCTACAATTTCTTAGTTAAAAAACATCAATTTCCCAGTATAAATATGCCAATGGTACTCAGAAGATATTTCTGTTAAGTTTGTCCTTTTCTTAAGAAATGCATGTAGAAAGATGCACAATTATTTTAATGGAATTGTATTTTGTAAATAAAAACAGCCTAAGTTAACAGTTGCTAAGGACAAAAAAAAAAGTATGTCTGCCATACTTAAAACCTTCCTATTTTCACAGAGTTCTGGCTGCTCTTATTGAGTATATTTTCAGTTAAGGGCAGACTGTCCCTTTTACAGTTTTTAGAAGAGAATCTTTGATAATACACAATTAGGCTGAAATAATTTTCCAAAATTTTGATAAAAGATAATAATGATACAATCTCTTTGCCAAGTCTTTTGAACTTCAGAGTGCTCTCATGATATCCTAATTTCACTTATATGATCTCTATGAGAAAATAGTAGGCAGTTGTATATCATTTCCATTTGATAGGCCAAGAGATCAAAGTTCAAAGAAGTATAGTTGGAAGCTGCTGTCTCAAGAAGCTTCAAAGAGGACTCCTGCTACTTTTCTGAAGACTACATTTTGAGCAATAACAGGAGCCAAATAAAAACAATTGAGATATATCAGAGGTCAGGTAAAATGCAATTTCATTTAGTGATCACCTGTCATGCAGTGCATTTCTTGTTTTAATATTTTTAATATATAGTTATTTAAAACAATTGGCATCAAGCAGTCTTTTTGCTAATGACCCCAAACCACTACTTTCCTCCCACCGAGATATTTTGAGAACTTTCTTACCTCTGCTCCAGAATATGTGTCCGTTTGGAGGATGAGTTCATTCAGATCAACATCCTGACTGATTGGCATTGAGTGAAACTGCAGGTTAAATATTTCCTTCCTTGTTGCTGCATCTGGTAAAGGCACATACACGATTCTATCGATTCTTCCAGGACGCATCAAAGCCTGGAAAGAAGATGGGGCAATGCGGATTAACCAGGCTCAAAATTGACATTCCATGTGAAAGGTGCTCAAGGAAAGGGATGTCCAGAATCTCATGAATAAACCACTATTCTTCATAGTTAGTAAACAATTTACCATAGCTAAGATTTGGAAACAGCCTAAGTGCCCATCAGCAGATGAGTGGATTAAAAAACTGTGATATATCTACACAATGGAATACTATGCTGCGGTAAAAAAGGAATTCTTACCATTTGCAACAGCATGGATGGACCTGGAGAGCATTATGCTAAGTGAAATAAGCCAGTCAGAGAAAGATAAATATCACATGATCTCACTCATTTATGGAATATAATGAACAACATAAACTGATGAACAGAAACAGATCCAGAGACAGAGAAGCATCGATTAGACCATCAAACCTCAGAGGGAAGGTAGGGGAGGGTGCGGGTAAGGGGGAGAGATCAACCAAAGGACTTACATGCATGCATATAAGCCTAACCAATGGACACAGACACCAGAGGGGGTGAAGGCATGAGTGGGGGGGGGGGGCAATGGAGGGATAAGGACACATATGTAATACCTTAATCAATAAAGAAAAAAATTATTTAAAAAATAAAAAAAAACACAGAGAGGAAAATAAAATAAAGTTTATATCTAGAAAAAAATAAAAGAAAACACCTACTATAGATTCTACAATCTATTTTAAAGATTCAAATCAATAAACAATATTCAGGCTACTTTTGAAAATAGAAAAGCAATATTTCCTCAGCAACTGTTAGTTTAGTAAAAGATGACTATTGTCTTTTAGGGGAATGCAAATATGACTTGCATTCATCGTATCAAAAGATATTAATTGTAACTTCCTGTAGTAACTTAGAATATGAGTTAAGCTCCTTCAGAGAGCCCTAAAATAAACATAGCTCTGATAAAAGACTACTTCTAGAACTGATGTAGCCAAATAAATGTTCCGCATATTTTATTGGAGGCTAATGTCTAAATTATCTTAGAGCTAATAAATTCATCTATATAAAATATTTATTGAGCATGCATTTCATACCAGACATTGTTCTTGGTACTAGGAAATAGCAAAAGATAGATATTAAAAGAGACACAGGTCAAAGTGTGTGTGTGTGTGTGTGTGTGTGTGTGTGTGTGTGTGTGTGTAGAGGGATGGGTAGCTTTTTAGTTGGGAAAGTGAGAGAAAGCCTATCTGGGGAGGTAACTGATGCAGATGCCCAAAGGAGTCAGCCATACAAAGATCTGGGAGAAGAGCATTCAGGATAAAGAGAACATCAGTGCAATGGGCAGAATGACTGGTATGTTCCTGGGAAAGAAAAACCCCAATGTGGTAGAAACAGTGAGTAGAGGGAAAAGAGGTAGGAAATGAGGTCAGGCAGATATTTATGGGTAGATCAGAGGCTTTACAAGACATGGTACAGAGTCTGAATGGCATTCTTCTTGTAATGAGACGCTACTAGCAGATTTTAAGTATGAAGGTTGAAAAGGTAAGATTTACATTAAAAGATCACTCTTGTAGGAGAGACAATATCTAAAGGTCTAACATACATGTAATTGGAGTCCCAAAAGGAACTGAAAAAGATGAGGCAGAAAAATATTTCATGAGAAAAGAGCCAAAACTTTCCTCAAATTGGTAAATAAATGAATTTAGATAATTAAGAAGCTCAGTGAATCTCAAGCATATTAAATACAAAGAAAACCACACCTGACCACATCCACTTGAAAAGTGCCCAAGGAAAAGGATGAGAACTTTTATCCCAATTTCACCTATATCTATCTTATGCTATTTCTTAGTACCAATGACTCCAGTAAACATATTTTCAAATGATTAAAAATATTATCATAGTGCAACTACTGAAAACCAAAGATAAAGAAAATCTTGAAGCTGCCAGAATTAATACAGGGAACAATGGTTTGAATCACTAATGACTCTCAATCTAAACAATGGAGAGCGGAAACCAGTGGAACAACATCTTCAAAGTGCAGGGAGAACAAAAAACGTCATCCTAGAATTCTATTCCCAGTGGAAATATCCTTCAATAATGAAAAAAAAAAATTAAGTCATTGTCAGACAAAGAAAACCACCACAGAAAATGCTAAAGAAAGATACTCAGATTGAAGGAAAATGACATAAGATAGAAAATTGAATATTCAGGAACCAATGAAGAGCTTTGTAAATGAATCACTCCCAAAATGTAGCCTTCTTCCACCTCCAAAAAATTACTCTTGTTGCTGGCATAATCAGAAATGGAATTTCCTGAAGCTTTAAGAGACACTCACTTATAAATAGTTAAAAATAGCACATTTCTATATCTACCCTTTTTAGAGGGATGAATACAGAAAGAAGATGCCATAGAAGTAAATACTGAAACTAAGGAAAGTAAGAACTAGGCATGAACAACTTCTAATTAAACAAACAAAAGAAAAGAAGAAGAAAAAAGAAAACCAAAAAACAAGACCCTGAAAATATACCTGGGACCATACATAAAACATTACAGAAAATGCAAACATCAAAACCTAATATAATTGCTCTGTGGAAATTAGTTCTTAGGGAACACGATAAATTGTCTGCTGTTTCTGACCCAGGACTTTCATGTCTTTTGCCAGTCTCCATGACATTGTGGCAGGCTGGCTGGTTAGCTTACAAATAGGGTAATCTATTTGTGGCAGGCTAGCTGGTAGCTTACAAATAGGTGTGAGAAATAGTATTTATTGACAATTTTATCATCCTAAGATTAGTGTGCCTATCAAAGAAAGAGAAAAATTAGAAATATATAAATCCAGGAAGAATTATCTTTATTTTTTATTTTTAAATTTATCTTATCATGTTCATGTTTAGAATTCCAAATAGATTGGCTATGAAAAATCTGCAGGAGAGGACTGCAGTAGTCTATAGAAATTCTATCCCAAATTCCAAAATTCTAATCATAGAACATCTCAAAAACTAATATTTCATTCTCATTTTGTAAAATGCTATTGCATAGGTTTTGCACATGTTCCAATACCTAGAACATGACGAGTGTCTACCAGATAACTGTTAATTTTTAAGTTATAAACGAAAATAGCAAGCAAGTCAACTAACAAATATGTAGTAAATATATTCCCTTTGTTTAAAAAATAAATGCTTTAATTATTTGTAGACTCTTCCCCAACCCTAGCATCAGTCCATTGGGAGGAAGTGACACATATGATTGGCTTCCTTGAAATGTACAATGTCACAGAATTCAGTCATGGGAATCACAGCTCCCCACCTAAAGCAAATGCATGATTCAGGAAATTAGAATGACTCCAGTAAATACATATTTTCAAATTATTAAAAATGTTATCTAAGACAAATAACATTAATATTAAATAGCCCTTAAGAATCTATCAAGCACTTCTCACATACTATGTTTCACTTAATAGTTCTCCAAATCCTGTGAAGTAGATATTATCATACTCCATTAGGAAAAAGATAATGAGGCCCAAGATCACACAATAAATGGCAGAAAAGTGGGCTGAAATCAGGAGTCTCAAAGTTGAATCAGTCCTTTTTTACTAGTACTTTACTATCCTTCCAGTACAATATGCAATTCTATCAATGGACAAATGAAAAATGTTCTTATTCTGAAATGACATGGATAACAAAATAAATGTGAATAATTATTTCATCAAAAAAGTATAATACATCTACTATGTGCTAGACCTTGTTTTAGTGGCTTGGGATACAGCTGTGAATAACTTGGTTTATTTTTTTATCAAGTTGAAGTTATCCTTCTCACCCTTCTAGAAAAAGTCATGTTCTGGGTCATTTAAACTTCCCTTTCTAATAGCTGAAAGAACAACACAGCAAAGGACATAGCTAAGTCACTGGAACAACACTCAGCATGCATCTGTGCTTTTCCCCCTGGTACCCGGACAGTGCAAGGCTGAGCACTCTTCAATGACCATAATGTTGTCTGGGCCAACAGCCAGCTAAGCTTTTTCTGGCCCGATCTTGTCAGTGAAAGTGAGCTTAAAAACAGAGCTTTCCTTCCTGTAGAACCCTAAATGAATTAACAGCCTTCCTAGAATTTCTTTTAAAATACTGCCCTGAGATATTAGGGTGGAAGAATGATGGCAGGTTCTGAATGATGGCAGATTCTGTTATTTTAAAATCACCACAAGACAGCTCTCAATGAGAAACCAAGCCAAGGCTTCCTAATACTCTGACCCCTCTGGCCCCAAGATCACAGATACTGTGGCCTCTACATGAAAACTCTATTTTTAAAAAAATCATAAGGAAAACTGCCTTTTCAAGAGAACTTATTCAAGACCTCTATCAGCCTGTTCCTCATGTGTGAAAATGAAGATGGCTTTTTAATAAGAGAAGCCTATGTGCATCTGACAAGAATTACCCTTAAATTACAGATGACAAAACATCTTCACACAATTTTATAAATAATTCCATGGAGTTCACCTGAAATCTGCTCGTGCACCCCAGACTAAGAAAGCGTGGTATTTGATGACCTTCCAGCCCCAATTCTAAGACTCCAATGCAGTATCTTACCCAATGTCATGCCCACAGCTTATATCACATGGTCATTACTGAAAAGTGTTCTATTTATCTAATTGTACTAATTAATTGAACGAATACTATTAACTTTTTTTGCTTCTGACCTTCACAAAAAAGAACTCAAAAGCATTTCTGGTATTTCACATTCAGGATTCTTATTGATCCAACCATATACCACAGTTATGGGGCTTGTTTTAAGAGATTCTGAAATTTAATACCTGTAATTTCATATTCTATCAATGTTCAAATCTAATTTAATTAGCATAGAAATACTTGTTCAGACCAAAGTATTAAAACAGACACAGAAAAAGCAGGTTCTATGGCTGTCATTCATTTAAAATGATCAACAGGGTGTGTATGTAAGTGTGGGGAGTATCTTCCTCTAGAAAAGAAAAGCAGCACTGAGTCTTTATATTTTGCTCCAATAAAACACATATCAATGTCTCATGAT